GGGCTAGGTTGGGCCTGCCTGTAGTAGTTTGTGAGTTCAGGCCTATACAACCCACTGAGGTTTGGCTGCTGCGTTTCTCCCTCCTGCTGCTACATTTTTGAGAATTTCTGTCTTAACAACACACTCAAGGAAGGTGACCAGGGAAGGAAGGCAGAACTGCTGTTCAGAGAGAGCACGTGCTCTGTGAACACCGTCTGCAAATGAACTGGGCCCGGCACAAGGCTACAGTCAGAGGGGACATGTTGTTCTAGCCACATTCGGCTGACAGATTTAACTGGAAGAAGTGAGAATTGACTGAGTGTTATCAATAGGCCTAAAGTAAACAGGGGAGATAATTTCCCCCAAATAGTGTATGCCTGCCCCTCTTGTTCAGATAATCTTGGGGGGTTCTCATCTGGTTCTTTTCTCCATGTCAACGATCTGTGCATGGTTTCAGTGTAGGTTATTCATTCATATAGTAGGTTTTCTTTCCGAACATAAATACTCCCAAGATGCCTTTTAATTTCTTCTGAGAAGAGGTTGGAGTGACAAAGTGGAGTGGTCTCTCATCAGGTATTTTAACACTAACAGCTGTTCATATATGCTAAGATGACAGTTGCTGAGAGAGTGCTGATGTAGTGTAAGGACAGGTAGACATGGGGTAGAAATGGGATGGACTAGCTATGCCTGCCATTCTTCCCTCAGATTAGACTCCATTTTTACCCATATTTTGACCCAGTATTTACATAACACACAAACCGGGGGAGAGGGAGGAGGGTGGATTATGTCATAAATGATGGTGAAAAAATCAAATTCTGAAAAAACTTGGAAATAAAACAGTTTAGGACCTCATCTCACCCTACACACTAAATGAATACCAGATATGATAAAACATGAAAGTATAATAAAATATATGATTTCTGAGTATAATAAAAGATAGGGTTGGCAGAAAGATATGATTCCTGAGTAGAAAGTGACTTTCTATGCATAAAAGCAAAGGAAGAAACCACATTGGCTATTGGAAGAAACCACAATGGCTACACTAATAGTTTTATAAATCTCTAGCAATTATAATTGATATCTATATTCAAACTATAACCACCTCTTAAGACTTAAAATCATCTCTATAACTGAAGACATCAAAATAAAATGGAAAGGTCAACACCAGGAAAATACTTGCCAAGAATAAAAAGAGTTAACATGGTGCTTTTGCTCTTCAAGTCAAGATGGCGGGGCATGGTTACAGCTTTTTGCTGACTACTTTCAGCCTGTCTGGTAAACTTGTCCAGACTGAACATGCTTTGGCTGCTGTAGCTAGAGGAGCACCTTCAGTGGGAATTTAAGCTGCAAATGGAGTGGTATTAACAACTGGGAAGAACCAGACATCCATTCTGTATGATGAGCACAGTGTACACAGAGTGGAATGAATTACCAAACATCTAAGCCTGGCATAACGTGCATGGGCCCACATTACAGAGCACTGTGCACAGAGCTTGAAAACTAGCTCAGTTAATACTGTCTTGTTTAGCAAGAACCCACCCTCACAGCTCAGCTGGTACTGAGAGTAGCTTCTGTGATGCAAGAACACACCATTCAGGTAAGAATTTGGAGTTTCTTATTTGTGGTTGGGACGAGGGACAGCCATATTTATTTCTTCAGATCCATCTGAAACTTACTTTGCCTGGACAGGCACAGTCATGGGCAAGATCTACGTGAATGAGAAAACTTTCCTTTAGAAAGGATACAATGAGATACCATCTCACACCAGTGAGAATGGCACATATTAAAAAAACTAGCAACAACAAATGTTGGCGAGGATATGGAGAAAAAGGAACTCTCCTGCACTGCTGGTGGGAGTGCTAACTGGTCCAACCACTGTGGAAAGCTGTGTGGAGATTCCTCAACCTACTAAAGATAGAGCTTCCATAGGATCCAGCAATTCCACTCCTAGGTATTTACCCAAAGGACACAGAAACATCCATTCCAAAGAGCACCTGCACCCCTATGTTTATAGCAGCTCTATTTACAATAGCTAAGCTTTGGAAACAACCCAAGTGCCCAAAAATAGATGACTGGATCAAGAAGATGTGGTCCATATACACCATGGAATATTACTCAGCATTCAAAAAAAGATAAACACATGCAATTTGCAGCAACATGGATGGAGCTGGAAGGGATCATGCTCAGTGAAATAAGCCAGAAAGAAAAAGAAAAATACCGGATGGTCTCACTCATAGCAGGAATCTAGAAAACCTAAATAAGGGACCAAGAAAAAGAATAACTACAAGAAAGAAAAAATCAAAATCAACAAACAACTATGAACCAGAGACACTCTATGGGGGTGGGGAAAGGAGGGATTGGGGTCAAAATAAGGGGGTTGCAATTGTATGGGGAATATAAAAATAAAATTAAAAAAAAGTAAAATGTCTGCAAAAAAAAAAAAAAAGAGGATATAATAAAGATGGGGAACTTGAAGATGCCATTCCTACAGCCATCTTAACCCTAAAGGAAAGCTTTGAAGGGCCAATGACAGCAGATAACACAGAAGCTGGAGTCTCCTATGAAGGAGTCTCCTATGAAGGCTTATTCCAAAGTTTAGGCTAACTCGGCTGCCACAACATAATAATGAAGTGACAAAAATTTGAAATTTCAGATAATCAATCCACTTATACATATTTAAAGCATGTTTTGTCTTGCAGACTTTTTGCATATCTATTTATATATGGACACTGGACTGTTATTTTTTAAAATGACAGTTACAAACCATAATAAACTGTTAAATCCAAAAAAAGAGCTAACATGCCCAGTGTAACAGGAACTCCCAAGATTCCCAAGACTCCCAAGACATTAAACAAACAGACAGTATTTCAGTGGCAAATGGGACAAGGGCCTACGACAGAAATGTCACAATGAGAAAATTCAAATGATCAGTGAAGATGAAAGGTTGTCCAACCTCACTAGTAATCAGAGAAATGCATAGTAAAACATATTAACTTTCATCCACCAAATTACCAGAAGTTCAAAAATGATAGAAGTCAAAAGTAGCATGACTGTAAGTGAGATGGACGCTTTTGGACACTCCTGTCAAGTACTGTAGATCTTTTCTCGAAAGTAATACAGCAATATGTAGTCAGAGTCTGACATTCATGTTCCCTAGTTTAGTTTTAGAAATTTATCAGGAATCTATAAAATCTATAAATTACCTACAAAGGAACTGATAAGACAAAGGTTTACTTCCCCAAAGGCCTACAAGAATAACTTATAAAATTGGGGGCAAAACATGGGTTAGCAAACTATGACCTATGGACCCACCACCATTTTTTGTGTAGTCTGTGAGCTAAGAATGTTCTTTTTCAAACTTTTTATTTTATTTTATTTTTATAGTCTTGCTTTTCTGACGTCCTTTGGCCCACCTGCACTAGTTTTTTTTTCAGTTCCAGTACTTTCTTTTTTCTGTTTATTTTTCTGTTTTACTAGGCAAGGAACTTTATTTTTCAGGCCTGTAAAATAGCTTTATTGAACGTATATTGACACATAACAGTCCACATGGGTGTATATCAAGTGCACAATTTGATGTTTGATCTATATACACACCTGTGAAGCCATCACCATAATCAGGATAACCAGTCCATCAGCCCCAAGTTCCCTCATGGCCATTTGTAGTACCTTCCTCCCAGCCCACCCCTTCGCCCTGCCTTGTCTCTTGGCAACCACTGATCTTTCTTCTGTCACTATAGCTTGCATGTCCTAGTATGTTACATAAATAGCATTGTATAATAGGTACTCGGTTTTCTTTCTTTTTTTTTTTTAACTTGGCATAATTCTGACATTCATCCATATTGTTGTGTGTCAATAATTCATCCCTTTTTATTGCTGAGTAACGTTCCAGGGTATGACATCACACAATAGGCTCGTTCATTCACCCATTGATGGACATTTGGCTTACTTACAGTTTGGGACTAACACAAATATGTTGTTTGTGTTTTTATGAATGTTTTCATGGAAACTTTTGTACTGGAACATAGGCATTTTTTTTTCTCTTGGGAAAATACCTAAGAGTGGAATAGCTGGATCGTTTGGTAGGCATGTGTGTTAATAAACTTCCCGGCAGTTTTCAGGGTGTCCATGATGTGTATATTTAACCTACAAGATAAAGGTACTTGTAGATCCCCTGGAAACCAATGCCCCCAACACTTTACCCATAAGTGGGGTCACCTAGGCCGCAGCAGGCTTCATTCTAGTCCTCCCTGTGTGGAGAGGGCTTCCAGGAGGGAAATTTCCCAGGCCTTCCAAAATGGCCCTCTAAAGGGTACAGGATCTCCCCTTTGAGGTGTTACCACACCACACCCACCATCCAAACACCCACAGTCCTCCACCATAGTCCATTGTCCACTGTGGCCCTGTCCCACTTTGATCTCGGCCCTCATCCTCCCTTTGCCCCACCTTTGCCCCTCCCCCTCTCCTTGCCCCTCCCCCTCCAGTAGCCTCAGTTCTGCAGTCAGCTTTGTAGGCTTTGTTCTTAGTTTGGCTTTACTGACCCGTTGTTTTCTCTATTTCCCCATATGCGATGCCATCTGGCTTTTATGTTTCTCTTCCTGGCTTATTTCACCTCACATCATCCCTGTATGTTCCAGCTGAAGAACCAGTAGTTTAGAACACGTCAAGCCCTTCAACCATCTTAGAATTTAACCTCACAGGTGTCGCAGTACACCCAGAGTCCATCCCTCTACTGCCTTATTCTACCCACACAGCCTTGGAGCCACCCACTTAGAACTATGCAACCTGAGCTAAAGTCCCTCAAAGAACCAAGTTACCAACTGGAAAGGTGCAAAGATGGCTCCCACTTCCTTCCCTCAAATCACTGAACTAAAATAAAACCCAAAAATCTCAGAAACTCAGTCACTGGAGTAATTAAATCTACTATCCAAACCATTTCTCTGTGGCCTTCACCCTAGCATATAGTATGGCATCAACACATCTAAGAAAAGAAAACGACAGAGATGTAAAGTGATATACTCCAACACTCTTTACTGCTCTAGAACCCTCCCTTCACAATTACACATCCAGCAGGAAAATTAATCAAACTTCTATAGGAAGAATTTGAGTAAAAATATTGGACACTTTTTGCTTTAATCTTCAGTTTAAGAATGATTTCCACTCAATAATTGGAGAGAAGTTTTGATCATTTCCTTGATATTTTCGCAAGCTTAAAATTTAGCCCAGTCTTTGAAAACTTTCTCCAGCTTCTGGCTGAGCAGAACCTTGCCACTGACTTTGAACTTGCCGGCAAGGAAAGCCTTCTGAGGGTTAATTTTACCAAAGGCCAATTCCATGAGCACAGGCTCTGAGATGGTAAAGAGAGTGTCCACAGGAAGCCTGGAGGAGCCGGGGTACACCTCTCCAGATCCGTTCTTCAGGTCGATGGTCCACTGCATGATGATCTTTCCATCCTTGGTGATGTCCAGTTGAAAAACGGCATTGACTTGCTTCACCAGCTGGGTTCCCGCTTCCTCGACATGACGGCGAACAGCTTCGAATACCCGGCAGCTCTGGAGTTCTGACAGGTCTGCGGCGTTGGGCCTGGACGGTTCTGGAGTTAAAGCCAGTTCCCTGAACCGGTCAGCCGGAGATCCATTCTTTGCTTTGATCTTTGAGTGATGGTCACTTCTCTTCCACATCTTGCCTCAGTCCTCTCGACCTTGCTGTCTGGCTGGAGTGGCCATGGGCAGGTTAATATACATTGGCCACATTGTGACATCAGAGCGAGGCGCCCGGCAGTGGATGTGTGTTGGCGTCTAATTGGCTGAACAGATGACAAAACATGACACGGGGTGGGGGCTCACACAGGCGATTGTGAGGTAGATCCATGACATGACCTGCCACCAGAGCTGCTGGGCCCACCAGCCCAGGAGGGTCTGAACCCCATGGTGGGAAAAACAGGCCCCAGAAGTTTGTTCATTGATAATCAGTGCTCTGGGAGGGCACTTCTGATGCCTTCAAAAGTGGAGCCGAAATAAGCCAGAAAGAAAAAGAAAAATACCGGATGGTCTCACTCATAGCAGGAATCTAGAAAACTTAAATAAGGGACCAGGAAAATGAATAACTATAAGAAAGTGAAAATCAAAATCAACAAACAACTACGAACCAGAGACACTCTATGGGGGGGTAGGGGACGGGAGGGGAGGGATTGGGGTCAAAATAAGGGGGTTGCAATTGTATGGGGAATATAAAAATAACATTTATTATAAAAAAATAAAAAATAAAATGGTACAGACAAAAAAAAAAAGTGGAGCCGAATCTGGCCTTATCTGTATATCTTCATTATGAGTTTGCCAGTCATTTATGTATCTAAATAACTTAAGGGTACATTTTCACACTTCACATGTGCACACGCTTCAGTGACCCTCCACCAAAGCTCCGTGCCAGCGCCCTAGCCCCCACTTCCCCTATCGCCTCCCCGCCGCTCCCCCTGGTAACCAGCATATTTTCCACAGAATCTAAGAAATAGTTTTGCTGAGCTTTGCCAGCTTGGGTCCTTTGGTGATTTCTATTTCACCAATAAGTGGAACCGCTCGGTATTGTTCACTTTCTGACCGACCACTTCTGTTCTCCGACTGCTTTTCTATTTTGTGTTCAGGTGGTCTTTGCCTTATTTGCTTTTTTTAGGGTGGGGTGCTGTGGGTTTCCATGGGTTTGTTTCTCTTCTTCATTTATGTGGGTGGCAGGTGGGGAGGCAGGGAGGCTGGGGAGCAGAGGCCTGGTCTCAGCCCGGGTGCGGAGGAAGGGCGGCTCCAGCAACATAGGAGCAGAACTCCATTAACCTCTGTTTCCAACATGACCCCAGCAGCTTCTGCTTAATTAGCTGCAAAGGATGGAGAATAAGCAGAAACTGAGAAGAGCTGAGAGTCCCAGGGGCTCAAGCTTAAAAATATGAGAGATCTAGATTGTATCAGACCCACAAATACAAGCTTTAAAAAGCAGTCACAATGCACAGCAGCCACTCCCAGTACCTTCCTCAAGCGTCCCCTTCTGAAGACTCATCCCCACCTGTGCATTCTTGGCAGCCTCCTCAGCCTTCTCTGCGAAACCTGCAGCTTCCGGCCCCGCCTTCGGCAGCAGGAAGCAGGCCTGTAGCCACAGCTTGGCTGGGCAGGCTTGGGCTCTTCTGAAACTCATCAGACCGACTGGCTGGGCTGCGTAGAGATGGGGGGTCACCCCTCCGTCAGCGGCCTTCTCACCCCGGCCTGTAAGGGCGACGTGTTCCCTGCAGAGATGCCAGAAGTTTCGGTGTGAAAGCGGGCCCCTCACCCACGCCTGTGAGCCTGTTCACCTCTCTGAGGCCAGAGATCCTGTATACAGGCAACTTCTCTAAGGAGAACTGAAGTGTTCTCCTCACCTGCTGTGGCTGTTCTGACCCACCTTCTCTTCAGGACAGTTCCTTTCCCACCAAACACACACGAGGTCCTGCGGATTGTCCAGTTTCTCCTGCTTCTTGACAGCTTCTTTCATTTTGTTGGAGTGGAGGGCGCTGGGTAGATCAGTAGAGATTAGGCACACATGTCTATTTTCGTTTTTGAAAAAGGTTTCAATTAAAAAAATCCCCCCTCCCCCCACCGGCCCTTTCACCCCTCGGGCCCTTTCTCCCCGCCCCCCTTGAGCCTCAGAAGTCTGTCTCCCTTTGTTAGGAGCTTCTGCTAGCTCTTAAGTGTCTTCCGTTTTCTGGGCCCAGTCATCCACATGATTCCTTGCTTACTCCTCTCTCTGGAAACATGTAAAATTTCCCTTTATTTTTCTGACTTGCTTTACTACACATAATTCCCCTCTGGCTCCTGGTTTTTTGTTTTTTGTTTTGTTTTTTCACATTTTAAGTTGAGAAACTTACATTTTAGGTTGGGAAGAGTCCACAGAAGACTAAGATTTCACAACACGTGACTGGGCGAGGAAGGCTTTGTCGGGACGCGGGTGCTCCCCTGAACCCACGCGGAGGCGCCGGCTAGAGGGTGCTGGACAGAGCCCACCAGGGCCACAAGGCCTCACTTATCTGCTATTTTGCTCTTTTTGGATTGGGGGGGCAACTTCTGGTATAATAAATACCAAAATGTTCATTTGATATAATATTTGTAGCCATAAAAATGATGTTGGCAACTAACTTCAAATAACATGAGAAAATCCTTATAACATCTTGTTAAGTGACAAAATGTCTGGAACAGATTTATTTATTTATACCAGAGTTTCCCAAGAAGGATTCTGTTGGATAATAACAGAATTCATACATAGAGAAATCTGAGTTTTAAAAAGTCTGCAGGACTTGTCACAACTTTCCCATCCTACCAATTTGCAGGGTGAATCTCCAAGAGGGAGAATATGGCCGGCTATGATCCCCAATTTTTTTTGGTCCAGAGTAACCAATATTCCATGGTACATAATTCTGGAAATGCTGGTCTATATCTAATGGCGTGTATTATTACACATCTTATATACACACGAACAAGCACATGAGAGAGTGATGTTTCAAAATGAGTTGAAATACTGACCATGTTTATTGCTCAGCCCAGGACTATAATTTTGAATGTTGTATTTTTATGGGTTTCCTAGAACAAGCATGAATTAGTCTTACAATCTGAAGGAAAAGGATAATAGGGGAAGAATATGAAGTAATGCTGGCCTGAGGAAGAAGATTCTGGAATCGACGCTGAACCTTTGAGTAAATTAGAAATATGGTGAATACGTGAGTATATGCAGCAAAATTTCAAGTCCTCTCCATTTATTCAGTCTGTTTCTCCCCTGCTCCCTTCCTTTCTATGTATGTGTTATGTATTTAGGTATCTGTAATTTGGTCATTCAGCTCACGTTTCCATATTTTAATAGAAACTGATAATAATTTTATTATTACTATCAAGTAAACAGAAATCATCATTTCTTCCCAGTCAGTCAAACTGGACTGTTACATTTTTAAAACAAACTCGTTGCTTTGGAATAATTTTAGATTTACAGAAAAGTTACCAAGATGGTAGAGAGAATTCCTGGCCACATGTCACCCAGGTTCCCCTAATGTTAACATCTTTCAGAACCAAAGTACACTTGTCAAAACTGAGAAATTAACAGTGGTCAGTCACTATTAACTAAGATCTAGAGCTTTCTGGGTTTCTACTGATGTCCTTTTCCTGTCCCAGCATCTAGGCCAGGAAACCACAGAACATTAAGTGAACTGGTTTCTGTTAATTCACTGAAAACGTCAAGGACTGAGCTCCATCTCATCCATCCCTTGTGGTTTATGAAGCACTAACTACAGGGGAAGCATTTGACTTTCCCTGATTTCATTCCTAAGTGTGCAGGAGGCACCCAGGAGACCCCGTCTGTGTTGCAGACTTCCCATGGCCTCGGCTCTGGATAAAGAGCTTCTGCATTTGCAAAGCACTTTAACAGAGGACACATCTCACTCTGTCGCCCCAACCATCCGTGAAGGAGGCGGGCAAATGTCATTTTCTGTTGTCCCATTTCATTGAATGAAAGCCTGAAGCCTGCAGGCAGGACAAGCTGTGTGGTTGCACCGGGCTTTAGAAGGGACCTGTGTTTGGTGGAAGGCTTGGTTGCCACCCTCTGGAAATTCCTAAAACTTTATGAACCAGGGGCTCTAACTTTCCATTTTGCGCCAAGCACTGCAAGCGCTGAAGCAGGTGCAGGTGGGAGGGTTTGCCTTGCTCACACCAGGGCACACACAGAGCCGGTGCAGCTGAGCGGACGTGAGAGCTTCCAGACTCAGGATTACTCTGCTTTCTCCTGCATGACAGCATTTCTGTCAGCCAGAATCCAAACTTATAGCCCACCCCCCTCATTTCCAACCACTGCACCTCTGGTTGTCTCAATGCCTCAGAATTTCTGCATGTATTTTTTTTTTTTGCCTCAACCACTTTGATTTCTGTTGCAAAAACAAATCAATCTGAAAACTTGCTTACCTGTGGGCTAGACAAACTGCTCTGCTAATTTATGTTCATAATAATTTCCTAGTGGTGGCTATTGCCTCAGCAGCTCTGCAGAGCATATTTATGAAACAGGTTTAAAATAAAATAAAAACAGCTCTATTTTGCTTCCAAGGTTGGTTAATTAGCTTGTGAGGTTGTCAGGGCTGAACTGTGAATTATAACTCCCTTCCAGAAGGGGATGCATTCATTTCTTTGCAGACATGGAGACACTGGGCTGGGCAAGGTGATTTTAAAATCAAGAGTCAAAGTAATGTTCAGGGGTCTGACTGGCAGATCCTGAGAGCTCTGTGTGTGTGTGTGTGTGTGTGTGTGTGTGAGAGAGAGAGAGAGAGAGAGAGAGAGAGAGAGAGAGAGAGAGAGAGAGAGAGAGAGAACACTGAGCAGGAGCACTTGAGCGGAGTGAGCCCCAGCTGGAGCGGGGGAGAGGAAGAGAAGGACGGGGGGAGAGAGGGAGGGGTGAGGGAGTCAAGAGTTGGAAGGGGGGTAGAAGGCAGATAGGGGAGACTACTACTTTTGGGGATGTTAAGATGAGGTGAATGCATTTTGCATGAGGGAAGGGAAGGGCATGAATTTTGGGGTGCACTGTTAGAGGGTGAATTGTGTCCCTCCTGAAGCTATGTTGAAATCCTAACCCCCAGAGCCTGTGAATGTGAGTTATTTGACAATGGGGAGTTTGCAGATGGAATCCGGTTAGCATGAGGTCATACTGGATCAGCAGGCTCTAATTCAGTGATTGATGTCATTATAAAAAGAAGGAAATTTGGA